CTAGCTGCTCTGTCTCCTCTCACTCAAGTGACTCCGCCAATAGTGAACTAAGCTGCATGCTGCAGTGCTCTCTCAACACACACCCCTCTGGCCCTCCCCACCACTCACCCACTCAGCAACAGCCTGCCTCACTGCCTGATAGTCAGCCTGCCTCACTGCCTGATAGTCAGCCTGCCTCACTGCCTGATAGTCAGCCTGCCTCACTGCCTGATAGTCAGCCTGCCTCACTGCCTGATAGTCAGCCTGCCTCACTGCCTGATAGTCAGCCTGCCTCACTGCCTGATAGTCAGCAGCAGCAGGTCATAGTGACATATATATATATATTTAAGTGACGTATATACAGTACCAGTCAAAAGTTTGGACACACCTACTCATTCAAGGGTTTTTCTTAATTTTTTACTATTTTTTACATTGGAGAATATTAGCGAAGACATCAAAACTATAAAATAACACATATGGAATAATATAGTAACCAGAAAACTGTTAAACAAATCAAAATATATTTTATATTTGGGATTCTTCAAATAGCCACCCTTTGCCTTGACGACAGCTTTGCACACTTGGCATTCTCACAACCAGCGTCATGAGATAGTCACCTGGAATGCATTTCAATTAACAGGTGTGCCTTCTTAAAAGTTAATTTGTGGAATTTCTTTCCTTCTTAATGCGTTTCAGCCAATCAGTTGTGTTGTGATAAGGTAGGAGGGTATACAGAAGATAGCCCTATTTGGTAAAATATTAAGTCCATATTATGGCAAGAACAGCTCAAATAAGCAAAGAGAAACAACAGTCCATCATTACTTTAAGACATTAAGGTCAGTCAATACGGAACATTTCAAGTACTTTGAAAGTTTCTTCAAGTGCAGTCGCAAAAACCATCAAGCGCTATGATGAAAGTGGCTCTCATGATGACCACCACAGGAATGGAAGACCCAGAGTTACCTTTGCTGCAGAGGATATGTTCATTAGAGTTACCAGCCTCAGAAATTGCAGCCCAAAGTAACAGACACATCTCAACATCAACTGTTCAGAGGAGACTGTGTGAGTCAGGCCTTCATGGTCGAATTGCTCCAAAGAAACCACTAAAGGACACCAATAAGAAGAAGAGACCTGCCTGGGCCAAGAAACACGAGCGATGGACATTAGACCGGTGGAAATGTGTCCTTTGGTCTGGAGTCCAAATTGGAGATTTTTGGTTCCAACCGCCATCTCTTTGTGAGATGCGGTGTGGGTGAACGGATTATCTTCGCATGTGTATTTCCCACCTTAAATCATGGAGGAGGAGCTGTTATGGTGTGGGGGTGCTTTGCTGGTGACACTGTCTGTGATTTATTTAGAATTCAAGGCACACTTAACCAGCATGGCTACCACAGCATTCTGCAGTGATACGCCATCGCATCTGGTTTGGGCTTAGTGGGACTATCATTTGTTTTTCAACAGGACACCTCCAGGCTGTGTAAGGGCTATTTTACCAAGAAGGAGAATGATGGAGTACTGCATCAGATTACCTGGCCTCCACAATCCCCCGACCTCATCCGAATTGAGATGGTTTTGGGATGAGTCGGACCGCAGAGGGAAGGAAAAGCAGCCAACAAGTGCTCAGCATATGTGGGAACTGTTGGAAAGCATTCCAGGTGAAGCTGGTTGACAGAATGCCAAGAGTGTGCAAAGCTGTCATCAAGGCAAAGGGTGGCTATTTTGAAGAATCTCTAATATAAAATATATTTTGATTTGTTTAACACTTTTTGGCTTAATACATGATTCGATATGTTATTTCATAGTTTTGATGTCTTCACTATTATTCTACAATGTAGAAAATAGTACAAACCCTTGAATGAGTAGGTGTGTCCAAACTTTTGACTGGTACTGTATATTTTAATAGAAATGCCATGGCGGCCGCACTGCAACTTAGAAGTAGCCCAAAAACCCGCAACCTGCGACCAATACATTTACACCCGCGACATTGTTTTCAAAGTTGCCCAATTGTGGGAAAATTGCGGACATGGCAACCCTGCTGAGACAAGAGTGCTCTGAAATCAGAGTAGAAAGCTAGAGTGAATTTACGAACGCACCCTGTATTGTGTGGCTAATCCTTATTGTGGCTAGCTTCACATGGGGATTCATGACTTAGACACTAAAACAACCTAATCGGATAGGCTAGGCTTTTTGACATAATATGCTTTCATTTCCATTTGTGTAGTGACTTCATTTGGGAAAAACTCAGATATTAGGCTACCCTGGTTATGTAATTGGTACATTTCCATGATAACATCAAATGGGGACAAATGACCCAAATAGGCTATATTCTCTCTCTCTCATATCAAGTTGTTAGTACTGTCATTAAGCATGATCTTTTCTCTCCGCTTCCCATCTCTCAATGCAACATTTCCATGACTACAGGGGCATATCCCTAACATCAAAAGGGGACAAATTACTTAAATTACTCAGATTGTTCTCACATAGTAACTTCATTGGGAGGAACAATGTTTGACATGCTTTTTACATTTGTATCACAAACAATGTTTTGGGAAAATCATGATGAAAGTGGCCATTTTACGCCTTTTTTAGACCTATGCCTCCTGTAAGACCCTGTGATAGCATTTCCCAAACTCTGTCCTCTGGACCTCAAGGGGTGCACGTTTTGGTTTTTGCCCAAACACTACACAGCTGATTCAACTAATCATCAAGCTTTGATGTGATTATTTGAATCAGCTGTGATGTGTTAGGGCAAAAACCACAACGTGCACCTCTTGGGGTCCCGAGGACCGAGTTTGGGAAACCCTGCTCTGTGATCTGTGAACCGTACATGATACAGACAACATTTTGCTGTCATTAAACTCCTTATAGTGTTCTCTAAAATATGGAGTATGTTTAGATTCTGAAATACAAATGTTCATCAATTTATTAAACATTAAAAATAGTAATATCTAAAAACGACCTTAATTTGATTTAGCTTATTTTTCAACATATTGTTTTTAACAATATACTCTTCAAACACATCACATTTCCAGAGTAGGCTCTTGGGTACTTTTAATGATATGACCCATTTATACATAGAAATTGACATTATAGGTCATTAACCAATCACAGCCCTCCTTTAGGATTGCACATTCAGCAAGTCACCAGCACTGTGTTGGTGGTGCTCATAAAATTGATCGTACCTTCAGAATTAGCAGAGAGCCCACTCTGGAAATATGATGTACTTGTAGAGTATATTGTTCCAAACAATATGTCTTAAAACTAACAAAATCAAAAAGGGTAGTTTTGAAATATTAATATTTTAAATGTTGAATAAATGAATGTGAACAATTTTATTTCAGAATCAAGACATACTCCATATGTTAGAGCACACTATAAGGAGTATAACGACACCAATATGTTGTCTGTATCATGTACAGTTGACAGATCATAGGTTCTTACAGGAGCCGAGTATAGGTCTAAAAAGGGCCACTTTCATCATGATTAAAACAATTATTGTTTGTGATACAAATGTAAAAAGTAGGGCTGGGAATTGCAAGGAACCTCACGATATTATGTGCCGATACAATATGTATTACGATTCTATATGTATTGCAATTCGATACTGTGATTTTTATTGCGATTTGATGTTCCAAACATATTGCTCACCATATGTCAGCTCCCGAGGGACGAGAGAGCCATGAGAAAACGAGTTTTGATCAGTCAAATTGGCTCCCTTATTAAAAAGAAGATGGAGAACAAGTTATGAAGGAAAAAACTGGCGTTTTTGGTGCAGGTACAGCCAACTAGCGCAAAAATAATATTGCAATATTGTAAAAACAATACGATACGATATATCGTCAAAAATAATATCCCGATATGTAACTATCTATTCCCCCCCCCATCGTTAGTATAAAGCATGTCAAACATTCTTCCTCCCAATGAAGTTTCTATGAGAGAATTGCCAGAACATATCAACAATATTTTTGGCTACGCTGGCATGGAATCGCCCAATAGACCCATATCTTTTCTTCCCTTCTCTTTTCTTATCTCTCTTGTTCTAGCTGTCGGTCTTTCTCACAGTAGCCTAATGAAGTTGTTGATTGTTGAAGTATATTGATGTATTCTCTCTCTTCTCTCTCTCTCTCACACACACAACCTTCAAATCATACTTATTATGTCAAGCACAGAATTCTCTCTCTAAGTTGTTGTTGTATCTCCTTTCCCTCTGTTTCTCTCTCTTTCCTCTCTCGCACACTCTCTACTTCAGTAATGAAGTTGTTAATGCTTAATGACTGTGTTATCTTTCCTCTCCGCTTCCCATCTCTCAATGCAACATTTCCATGACTACAGGGGCCTATCCCTAACATCAAAGGGGGACAAATTCCATACCAGCGTAGTCCCAAAATATTTTTGGTAACTCAGATTGTTCTGGCAATTCTCACATAGTAAAACTTCATTGGGAGGAAGGATGTTTGACATGCTTTTTACATTTGTGTCACAAACAATTTTTGGGGGGAAAATCATGATAAAAGTGGCAATTTTAGGCCCTTTTTAGACCTATGCCTCCTGTAAGACCCTATGATCTGTGAACTGTACATGAAACAGACAACATATTGGTGTCATTATACTCCTTATAGTGTTCTGTCAAATATGGAGTATGTTTAGATTCTGAAATACAATTTTTTACAATTATTTATTCAACGTGAAATCTTTGATCTTTTATTTCAGCTCATGAAACAGGGGACCAACACTTTACATGTTACGTTTATATTTTTGTTCAGTATAGTTTTGATCAGTCAAATTGGATCCCTTACTAAAAAGTAGCTGTCGGTCTTTCTCACTGTAGCCTAATTAAGTTGTTGATAAAAATTTATGAATTGTACTGACTCACTCTCTCTCACTCACACACACACACACACACACACACACACTCTCCTCAGTTAATTTAGTTGTTGACAATTAATAGTAATTACCCGATAGCTCCTCTCTATGTGAGCAGACTCAGTAGACTGTGAGTTTGCATGGACAGTTAGTACATTATGGAGGAGTTCCCAGAGAGCTTTAACCAGCTGGAACTGCTGAAGACCCACGACCACCTGATCCCCCGTGGAGCATGCAGCCTCTGGCCGGGAGACGAAGGAGAGGGAGAGGAAGAGGAGGAGGGGGAAAGGAGTGAAGAGTGGTATCAGCAGAAAGAGGAGAAACTGAAAGACAGACCGGAGGAGCTCATGCTGTGGGCGGCGGAGAATAACAGAGTGAGTGTGACATGTGCACCACACACCTTCTCACTAGGGCTGGGAATTGCCAGGGACCCCACGATACGATATTATCATGATTCTCATGATTCTATATGTATTATGATTCGATACTGTGATTTTATTGGGATTTGATGTTCCAAACATATTGCTCACCATATGTCTGCTGCAGAAGGACAAGAGAGAGCCATGAGAAAACAAGTTTTGATCAGTCATGGAAATAAAAGTGCTGAAAACAAATTGGCTCCCTATTTAAAAAGAAGATGGAGAAGAAGCTATGAAGGTTTTGGTGCCGGTACAGCCAACTAGCGCAAAAGTACCCCCCACCCCCCCATCACTACTTTACATGCAGACACGTTCAGATGTCTCTTAGTTTCCAACTGTTACTTTGGAGCCTGGTCGGTGCAGGATATGCTATATCAGGGATTTATTATTTAGTGCACACCGTAGCAATACGGTAGTCCCTCCCAGTTTCTGTCTGTTTAAAAAAAAAAAAAAAAACATTTGATGTCTTGTGAATACGACCCAGCGCTTTACCATCGCGCCCATGTCCTGGACTAACTTCCTGGATCTTTGGTCTTGTCAAGGGATGTATCCAAGATCAAGGGCGGAGACATAAGATGTAGACTTAAAGTCACTACAATGTAAACAATGTAGGCTAGTTGAGTATGGATGAATGAAAAGTGGGACAGATCAGATTTTAACTTTTTGTTTTGCAATTTAATCAGAGAGACATGTGAATGTGAAAAGCTTAATTGGCGTTGACCCTGTCATGGAGCTGGTCATCCAGGGCCATATTGTTGTGAAATTGACGTCTCGTCAATTTGACGATGAAAAACAACTTCTGTTGCAAATCAGGTGCTCAAAGTTGACCTATTTTGCATACTCCAGCTTATCATGAGACATCCATGTCTTCATCACTGGAAGAGTTTGATATCATGGGCCAATATATATAGAAATGTTCGTTCAAATCAGAAGGGCTGCGGACAAAAAGTGAATGAGCTGTGAGAGTATAATGAATGTCTCCCTCTCTGCTTTGAATGCTGATCACTGCTTAAGATTGGAACAGAACAGCACAGCAAGCCTCTGAATATTGTGTGTGTGTGTGTGTCCTTGTTTGTGCCTGTGTGTGTGTGTGTGTGTGTCGTGATGTGTCTCACTTGTATTGTCCACAGCCAGAGAGGTGGTGAGATTTAACAAATGGGAGGGAGGGAGAAAGATAATCCCCTAGAGCTCTTGTTTGTTCCCCCTGTCAAACCTGTGCAGAAATAACTTTAAATCGCCATCTTCAGTGGATCCAGAGGCAATAACAGGTTGACTGTCATTTGTGAGGGGGGGTGGGGGGAGGGGGGATAAGGATGGGTGGTTTTACCTCTCTAAGCTCCGGCCTGGTTTTTAAATGTTTTATTAAAATGCATCTGCCTTTCGGCTGTTTCATGATATATTGAAGAGTTCAGTAAAGGTCAGTTAAAATGCAAATATTCTCTCTCTCTGCCTCTTTAAGCTGCCAACGGTCAAGCGGCTGCTCTCGGTCGACCCCTTGCTTGCGCATTGCCAGGACGAGGACGGCTATACTCCGTTGCACCGCGCGGCCTACGGAGGCCACGCCGCCACGGCCTCTACCCTGCTGGCAGCGGGCACCGAAGTTAACTCCCGCACTGCCGACGGCTGGACACCCCTACACAGTGCCTGTCGCTGGGGCCAAGTCGCCACCGCGTCCCTCCTGTTGCGCCAAGGGGCGGAGCTGAATGCGCAGACCAATGGCGGCCTCACAGCGCTCCACCTAGCTGCCTCCTACCCCGGACCGGGCTCCGCCCACACGCTGGAGTTCCTCCTATCACAGCGCCACATAAAGGCGGAGCTTCGGAGCAAAAGCGGGGAGACGGCCAGTGAAATCGCCCGCCGAAGTGGACCGCATCACTTCCTGTTTGAGATGGTGGAGGACTGTAACAGCGTGCTGTCTCCCCGGTGACCCCCCCTCACACACACAAACACACACACATACATCCTTTCCCTCTACCCAGGGGCCTTCATGGAAGACAAGACAGTGTTCCAAGAAGTGTCTTATGAACATATGAACAGTCATGTACACCACCACATAGTCTTTCTTTGCAGTCCTGGCAGGAAACCTCAATTCTCAGTATGACAGTTTCTCTTATGTATCCTCTGCACACTTTATTTGTCTGGGTCCCAAATGGCACTATATTCTGTACATAGTGCACTACTTTTGGGCCCTGGCCTGGTCAAAAGTAGTGCACTATATAAGGGAATAGGGTGCCATTTGGGATGTAGCCCCTAATAACAGGGCACTTGGAATGGGTTGAAAATAACTGGTCCAATTAGCATCCTCTCAGAAACTATGGGTGATTTTAGCATGGAAACCCACATGGTCAGACACTGTACTTTGGATTAGGTCTGATTGGTTGAAGGTTATCCAAATTATCCAATTGCTGACATTCATTTTTTATAATGCCCGTCATTACAGATGTAGGCTCAAATGGGTTTCAATGGTGGGATGACTAATATTGTGAAAGAAGCCGAGCATTTTGGGTTCCAGGCTAAATTGTGTGTGCTGGAGTAGTGCTTATCATTGGTCTCTGAGCATTGGGGTGTATTAATCTCATTTATTGAATTGATTGTTGAGCGTTGTGGCCATTAGAAATATAATTATTCATTCTAATTCTATGGTTACTGCTAATTTTTTGGTCATCCAAGTGTCATCCGTGCTCGATGTAGAAATAAAAATAAAATGAGTATAAATCTTTGAGGTTTCCCTTAATGCCTTTGAATGTCCCATCTCCCTTTACAAATAATGGGCACCATTTTGACATGAGCTTACCAAACACAACCTGAGGACATTATTCAGAACAGCATTGATTTCCAAATGTTTGTTTGCCTCTGGGATGTCCATGAGAAGATGTCTAAAGTGTGTGTATGCCCTGCGCATTGTCAATTCAAAAAGCATAGTGCAAGAATTTCAGTGTTTCAAACTCGCTTGGGATAAAGTGCTGTGCCATGTTTTTGTAACTTCCGGTTGTTTTTTGATAAGATCACCTTGATTTTGCGCTAAAATGGGTTGTCCGACTTGGATGGAAGTATGGTCATCAAAAGGTCACTAGAGGAAAGCAGAAGGAGAGTCAATGCTCCACGGTAACGTTTCCCCATATGTCCAGATCTAGGATCAGCTTCCCCTGCCTCTATCCTAACTTAACCATTATTGGGGTAAATGCAAAATTGACCCAAGATCAGTGTCTAGGGGCAAATTCACCCTACTCCAAGGGTCAACTTTGAGCGTGACAGTTTTACTTCTAATTGCAAAAAGGCCATATTAGGCTACCCACAAAACATTAAAGAACAACTGAATATATAATAACCAACTTCTCAGGTTGAAAACGGCCTATGTGGCATCAATATTAGTCAGAAACATGTATTCCAGTGCCACACACACACACAAAATTGACTAAAGTGTAAGTAGGATAATTTAGGTCATAAAGTCAGTATATTCCAAAACAGAGTTTTGTGTAACGGAGTTCGTCATTACTTACATGAGGGTTGGGTTTGGATTACAATCATGCCCACTTTCCCACTAACACGAGATGGTAGAATTGTCATGCACGGAGAAACAGCTGCGCTGATTGCGCTCTATCCAATCATAGCAGCCAGAACCTACAGACATTGGGCTTGTTCGACATTGCATACGACAGTGCTAGCGACTGCCGACTGACTGATCTACAAATCATTTAGTCCATAAATAACTACTCATTATTATTTGTAGATCAGTCAGTCAACACAATGCATCATGGATTTGATGCTCTCGAACACGGCTATTGAGACAGACCTGCCCATTACGCAGCGCCACAGACTTGTTTACATAAGACAACATGGCGCCAATGTTATGTTGTTGAAAGAACACTTGGCCTCTAAGCCTTTATGGGGTAGCCAATTGTTGATGTTTTCGATAGTGATCACTCGAGTCTGCCACATCTTTGGGCAAAATGAGAATTGAGATGATGCACTGCCACTTGTCAATATTCCAATTGCGAGCATCATGAGTCCCGTCGTGACCTATTGAAGACTGCCAGACATACACACTCTGGATAGTGAGAAGGTTGTAAAAAAACAAAATAAATTAGAGGAAAAACAAAAAGAAATGGAGAAACTTATTCAAGAAAGATCAAGTGTAATATATTATAAAAATAAAGCAAACTGGATGGAATATGGGGAAAAATGCACAAAATTCTTTTTTAATCTTCAACATAGGAATGCTACCAAAAAGAACTTAATGAAACTGGTTACAATTGACGGAGTCACCCATAATTCACCAAATGATATTTTGAAGGAAGAAAACAAAGTACTTTAAGCATATGTTTTCTTTTCAGTCGCCTCCATCTCCTCTAACTGAAGCTAATTGTAGAGATTTTTTTTCTATTGATAATGTCAAATTAACAGCCACACAGAAAGACTCATGTGAAGGTGAAATTACAGAGGAGGAACTTCTGGATGCAATTAAAGACTTTAAGTCTGGGAAAACTCCAGGGTTGGATGGCATACCAGTCGAGGTACACCAAACCTTTTTTGATATACTAAGAGGACCGTTATTAGCATGTTTTAACCACTCCTATGTAAATGGTAGATTATCTGACACTCAAGAAGAAGGTCTGATCTCATTATTACAGAAACAGGATACAAGTGGAAAATATAAAGATCCAGTCCATTTACAAAATTGGAGGCCCCTTACACTTCAGTGTTGTGATGCAAAAATCCTAGCAAAATGTATAGCGCATAGAATTAAAAAGGTATTGTCGGATATTATTCATTCTAATCAGACAGGTTTTTTACATGGAAGATACATTGGAGATAATATAAGGCAAGTATTGGAAACAATAGAACACTATGGAAAATATGGGAAACCAGGCCTGCTATTCATAGCAGACTTCGAAAAGGCATTTGATAAAGTTCGACTGGGGTTTATATATAAATGCCTGGAGCATTTCAATTTTGGAGAAGCTCTTATAAAATGGGTCAAAATCATGTATAGTAACCCTAGGTGTAAAATAGTAAATAATGGCTATTTCTCAGAAAGTTTTAAACTGTCAAGAGGAGTGAAACAAGGTTGTCCACTATCGGCATATCTATTTATTGTGGCCATCGAGATGTTGGCTATTAAAATCAGATCCAATAATAATATCAGAGGATTAGAAATACAGGGCTTAAAAACAAAGGTGTCATTGTACGCAGATGATTCATGTTTTCTTTTAGATCCACAACTAGAATCCCTCCACAGCCTCATAGAGGATCTAGATACATTTTCTAACCTCTCTGGATTACAACCAAATTATGACAAATGTACTATATTACGTATTGGATCACTAAAAAATACAATTTTTACATTACCATGTAGTTTACCAATAAAATGGTGTGATGGTGATGTGGATATACTCGGAATACATATCCCAAAGGAAATAAATGATCTCACTTCAATAAATTTTAATAGAAAGTTAGCAAAAATAGATAAGATCTTACTACCATGGAAAGGAAAATACCTGTCAATTTGTGGAAAAATCACCCTGATTAACTCTTTAGTATTATCCCAGTTTACCTATTTGCTTATGGTCTTGCCTACGCCTAGCGAACAGTTTTTTAAATTATATGAGAAAAAAATATTCAATTTTATTTGGAACGGCAAGCCAGACAAAATTAAAAGAGCATATTTATATAATGAATATGAATTCGGAGGACAGAAATTATTAAATATTAAAGCATTAGACCTATCACTAAAAGCTTCAGTCATACAAAAGTTATACTTAAATCCGAACTGGTTCTCAAGCAAATTAGTAAGATTGTCTCACCCAATGTTCAAGAAAGGCCTTTTTCCCTTTATTCAGATTACAACCTCTCACTTTCAGTTATTTGAAAAGGAAATAATCTCCCAAATGTCACTATTTCTAAAACAAGCCATAGAAAGTTGGTTGCAATTTCAATTTAATCCTCCAGAAACGACAGAACAAATAATGTAACAAATATTGTGGTTAAATTCAAATATACTAATTGACAAAAAACCTTTATTTTTGGACAGAATGTTTAAAAAAGGTATAATCTTCGTAAATGATATCATCGGTAGGACTGGTGGAGTTATGTCGCACATGCAGCTAACAAAAACATATGGAAATGTCTGCTCTACCCAAAATTACAACCAAATAATTGCAGCCTTACCGCAAAAGTGGAAGAGGAAAGTGGAAGGGGGAGAAAGTAAGGAACTTGTCTGTCGGCCTTGCATTAAAGAACATAATTGGTTAAGGAAAACTGTGATAAATAAAAAAGTATATCAGTTTCACTTAAGGACCAAAGGATTGACAGCCGTCCCATATAGATTGCAAAATAGTTGGGAAGAGATCTTTGACGTACCGATCCCATGGCATAGTGTTATGAACTGACACGCAAAACGGACACCGGATTAAAAAAATTAGAATCTTTCAATTTAAATTATTATATAAAATTCTTGCTACCAATAGAATGTTATTTATATGGGGGATACAATCTTCCCAGCTCTGCAGATTTTGCTGAATCATTAGATCATTTGTTTTGGTTCTGTCCATTTGTAGCTTGTTTTTAGACACAGGTCAAGGAATGGCTAAAGGATTGCAATATTTACCTGGAACTAACCTTGCAGATAGCATTACTGGGTGATCTGAAAAGTCATAGTCAATCAATCAATAATATAATAATACTTTTAGCAAAAATGTTTATTTTTAATTCACAATCTGTAGAAGCAATGAGAATAGAAATGTTCAGAACTTTTGTAAAACATCACAGTACGGTTGAAATATATATGGCAAATAGAAATCCTATATGGATGGTGTTAAGAGATAGATGGGAGGTATTGAATAGAGTTTACATTGTACATTTTAGTCATTTAGCAGACGCTCTTATCCAGAGCGACTTACAGTTAGTGAGTAATAACAAATAACAACA